AGAAGAGACTGGATAGTCACTTGTCTGGAATGGTAGAGGGTCTTCTGCTTGAGCAGGGGGTTGGACTAGAAGACCTCTAAGATCCCTTCCAACTCTGTTATTCTGTTAAGCATGAGAAGGAGTCACAGATGATTGCAAGTCAATCGGAACAAAAATTTCACCACTATTATTGCTGTTTGCTTTAACTCGAGTTGTTCCCGCCCCGCCAGAGCTCATTTGCAGCTAAGCAACAGTAGGTTCCCCGTTCGCTCGTAATTCCAAAGACGCTTTCACAAATCATAGAAAATTGGAAGTGGAGGTGGAACAAGAAAGAGAAAAGTGGCTTCGGGTCAACAGCAATGCATTGTCTCCAACTCATCCAGGCTGTTTTCAAATAAAACCCACGAGCGTTTGTTTTTTTCTTCCTTCAAACCAAGAATTCCAACCGATGTTTTGCTGAGAAAGGGCTCAGCTGACACAGCCATCAACGCTAAGAAATTAATCCGTTCTGTTTGCACACAGCGAAGCGTGCGTGTCTTCAAACCAGGACCACATGGCCCTCAGGAGAAATTGGAGCTGCATGCCATCTCTTCCAATTCTCGTGCAAGAAAAATTTCTGGATGCCAGCCACTCAAGAAGCATCCAAGAGACCATAAAATCAACATGCGTAATTTCCCCGCAGAATAAATCGTGTAAATAATAAGCTGTAAATAACAGCTTCCCCTTAAGGTGGAGGGGATGGGTGGTTTTGCAAAATTCAGAGAAATATGATTCTGATGGAAGGCAAAAGAAGAGTTTAAGACTAGGGGTCTTCAAACTCGGCCTTTATGACTCGTGGACTTCCACTCCCAGAATTCCTCAGCCAGCGTGCCTGGCTGAGGAATTCTGGGAGTTGAAGTCTATGAGTCATAAAAGGGCCGAGTTTGAAGACCTCTGGTTGAAACCATGGAGGAAACTGTAAAAGGGATGCCTGGAGAGATTCTCAGCCATCCAGGTCATAGTTCAAAGGTGCTGAACACAAGGTGGAAGTTTTCACAATCCCAATTGAGAGTCTTGGTTGCAAAAGATGGAAAAGCAATACCCAACTCAGAAGTACGTAGTTATGCTCTGGAATATTTGGGACCACGGTGCCCACCGTCTTCAGCCAGCATGGACCTTGGCAAAGGATTGTGGGAGCTGTGATTGAAAACATTTGAACCCTCCTGTAAACTTCTGAACAATGAATGGCCACCCATAGTGAACATTTTAAGCTTCATCACTGGGTTCACATTTAACATGCTGAACCTGATTGCTATAATAACTATATATATATTTTTAGATACACCCAATACGCAGAACTATACATTAACCCCACTGATTTGCCGTGTGAAACACACAGAGACCCAAACAGTTAAGACCAACATTAACTAAACTTTAAGCAAGGTCTTCTGTCAATCTTCTGGCCCGAGTCACACCAAGTACAAATATGGTTCGGTTTATTTTCGCTTGATACGTCGTATAATGCCAGCTGTGGCCGTTCATAACTAAGTTGATAGCTTAGCGAATTGGGCAAATCCGTCACCACTGCACTTTGTTCTGCAAACACAATTAAGCAAACCACGGGGATGGTAGGATGTGTAAACCCTTCCTGTGTAGGCAGGAGGGAGCCCCATTAAGCTCAGCTATGTTTACTTCCCAAAAAGGTTTACAGAAGAACCACGTAGGCTACAGTTTTGCTTCAGTACGATTACCTCTGTAAACAGTATTATGTTTTGCATTTCAAATTGACTTCAATTTGCAGCCACTTCCCCCTTTCTTGCTCCCCCCCCACAAAAACCCAAGAGGAACGAGTCATCGGAATGTCCCCCCCAAGATGTTTAAGCAAGGCGGATAAATCATCCTTGGGCAAAAAAAAACACCACTAGAGAGTAAGTACAGAAAAAGAAGTCTTGGGTAAATTTAAGTCTAGCAATAAGAGTTAGACAGTGCCCTATCTGGATAGTACAATCAGCACCACAACGCACCAAATAGATCACCAGAACAGGATCCGGACCTCACACCAACCTATGAACAATTACAACCTCCAGTGGACTTTTCCTAGTCTGCACAGGATCAGCACCACGGACAGCTCAGCATGTAAATTGCCATTGGCTTGCATGCAATGGAGTTGCACCCAAAGGCGAAAGGCAGGAATCAGCACCACGGACAGCACCCCATCTTGTTGCCTCGTCCAACACCTTGAGCCCCCAACCTGAGCTTCTCACCCTTCACAGCTCCACACACACACACACACACACACACCCTTCCTTCTCCGTCCCATTGTGTCCTCTTACCTGTCCTCGTTTTGGAAGCTCTGGTCCCCCAAGAGCAAGTCTCGAAACCGATAACGGGGTGGCAGGGGAAGGACCTCGGAGTCCAGCTCGTTCATGGTCAAAGAGGAGATGTCCAGGATGACCCCGCTCTTGGTGTTGTTGGTGTTGCTTCCTCCAGCTCTTCCACTGCCTCCTGGGGATGCTTTGAACCTGCAAGGAAAAGAGGAGGCCACAGAGTGATGAGGCTTGGAGGCAGGTTGCCCTTTCGCCCTTGCTGTTGGATGCAAACAGAGAAGGGAAATCCCTGCCGGATACTAAGACTGCCTCCTCTACAAGAATGGTATTTCCAGGGTGTGGCTTAGGGTCCCTCTTGAGTAGTAGAAAGCATGATGTCCCAGCTCCAAGGGAAGGACCAGAGCCTATGAACTTCTCTTCCTTGTAGTTTTCAACCTCAAGACTTAGAAAAGTCTCCCCCTCCTTCAAACCCCTCCTTTTCGCTCCTGAACAGAAATACACACAATCACACAAGCAAACAGCTCTTTACAGCCAATTCTCTTTACCGCCCTGGAGTTCCTCCCATGGGGAAAAAAAGGGGGAATATTTTTGGGTGGGCAATATATACAAGAAAGGAAAGGGTGAGACAGGATGGTGACCCCCCCCCCAAGCTGTGTCTGAGACAGATGGCAGAGGAAAGCAGGGGGGGAAAAATATTCGCTTTGCAAATCTGTGCAATTTTTTTAAAAAAAGGAAACTAACGTCGTGGGTTTTGTTTGTTTGTTTGTTTAAATAATTTTATTACCATAAGTCTGTCGAGACGTAACATGCAAAAAAAAAAAGAGGTGAAAATCATGGGAAAAGGGGAGAGGAAAAAGGGTAGAGAACAAAGTGTAGGGTGAAGGGGAAAAAAGACAAGAAAAACATCTGACTTCCCACTCCTTTTAGCACAGTAGATTAAGCTGTGTTACAGTGAATAAGAACGTTACAGTCTCAACTTTTTTACTTTTACACGCTAATACAAACCAACCATTTATATAACAACAAATGAATCTAATCAGGAAAAACTGGAGGGAGGGAAGGAAGGAAGGAAGGAAGGAAGGAA